GTGTAGAGGAGCAAATGAGTTAATTCCTGCAAAGAACTTAAAAGCACACCTAGCTCACACCAATGTTCAGTAATTGGGACTTTTACAGCCTCTTTATCACTGCCAGCCACACATGTCCCACGTTTTGGGGCACACGTGCAGATTTCCTCTGGAGTACAAACCTGGTAGCAGAATTGCTGAGCCCCACGGCATGCTCATGTTCCACTTTACTAGGAAAAGCCAAAGTGTCTTTCAGAGTTAGGCTGATTTACACTCCTCCCAGCAACAGCTCAGCCGGTAAAGCGCCTGCATACAATGCAGGAGACCTGGGTTCGATACCTGGGTCGGGAAGATCCCCTGGCGAAGGAAACGGCAACCCACTCCAGTATTCATGCCTGGAAAATCCCATGGACCTGGTGGGCCACAGTCCATGGGGTCGCAAAGAGTCGGACACGACTGAGCCACTTCACTTCACTTCAGCAATCTGAGAGCTCCCATAGCTCTCCATCTTGGCCTGGTGTTTGTTTGTTTGTTTGTTTTTTGGCCATACTAGGTCTTCCTTGCTGCTGGCGGGCTTTCTCTAGTTGCAGCGATCAGAGGCTACTCTTGCACTGACTTTTCTTGTTGCAGTGCTCACACTCATAGCGTAAGGGCTCCATAGTTGTGGAGCAAAGGTCTAATTGTCCCTTTGTGTGTGTACTCTTCTGGGACCAGGGATCAAATGTCCCTTGTTTTGGACCACTGGACCATCAGGGAAGTCCAAGTCCTGGTATTTTAAGACTACAATCTGATGACAGCGAATGTTTTTTCTGTATGTTTCCTTGATCACTGATGTCCATTTTATTTCCCCTTCTGCGGAACACCTGTTTATGACTTTGCCCCCGCTGCTCAATCTTTTTCGCTTTTGTCTTCAGTTCAGTTGCTCAGTCATATTTGACTCTTTGCGACCCCATGAACTGCAGCACACCAGGCTTCACTGTCTAACACCAGCTCCCAAAGCTTGCTCAAACTCATCTCCATCAAGTCAATGATGCTTTCCAACCATCTCTTCCTAGTATATATAATATATATTAATATATACATATATATTAATACATAAAACATGTATATTAATACATGTTTCAATGCCATTCTCTCAAATCATCCCACCCTTGCCTTCTCCCAGAGTCCAAAAGTCTGTTCTTTACATCTGTGTCTCTATTGTGGTCTTGCACATAAGGTCATTGTTCCCATTTTTCTTAATTCCATATATATGCGTTAATATACTGTATTGGTGTTTTTCTTTCTGACTTACTTTGCTCTGTATAAGGGCCTGATTTCCTTTAGAATTGACTGGTTTGATCTTAAGACTGCTTTTGTCTTAATAAACATTAAAAAAAAATTCTGACCACTACTCCTTCGTCAGTTCTGTATTCCAAGTATCTGCTTCCAGTTTGTCTTTTTATGGTATCTTTTGATGAACTTTTTTTTTGGAGGGTCTAGTTTGAAGAACTCTTCTTTTTCTCAAGGTCTTAGATATTCTCATATATATATACATATATATATATGTTTGTATATACATATTTTTGTTGTTGTTGTTGTTGTTAATTTAGAGTGGAATGGAACTGCAGGCCTGGTGCTTTGTTCTTTCCAGATTCTCCAATTCTAACTGGAGCCATATTCAGCTTCCACTTCTCCCTCAGTTGCCTCATGTTCACTCCATACTGTTTCTATTTCAATGTCTTTGGACCATGCTTCTTCTCATCTGGTGGCCTCCTCCTATAACAGGCCCACTCAGTCTCCATGTGGCAACCCTGTGATGTGTCACAGGAAGTTGGGACATGTTATCCCAATTATGGGTTAATAAATAAAGTACTAAAGGGTCGGTTATTTCTTTCAAAAATTTTTAAAATATCAGTGAGAGGTTCAAGACTGTCCCAATGTCACTCTCACTTTCCAGCACTTCAAAATGGCAGAGAAAGGTCACAGACAGGTGAGGTGTGTGCTATGGATGGAGGAGGACAATCACAAACCCATCCAGTGCTTTGCCTCTCTGCCCATTTCTCTTCATTTTGTCAGTACCAGGTTGCACCCGTAGGATGTGCACTGCGCTAGAGAAAAGCGCTGAGCAGCCTGGGTCTAGGCTGAAGTTTCAGTGGCAGTGTCCCAGGGTGTCCACACCTAGAACGTCTCCCAGTTCCAGGTCACCCTGCTAGAAAAGCCTCTTTTTAAGCCTATGCCCTCCTCAAAACATGTCAGTAGTGTCCTGATGCTCAGAGGATAGTGCCCAAACCCCTCAGCCTGGGCTCCACCCTGGCCCCAGCCACACTTTTGTCTACCAGTACTACCCACAGTTCCCAACGCCACGCCCTTTGATGCCACATGGACCCGTTCGTCTGCTTTTCCTCATGTCTTCAGTTGGCGACTTCATTCTTCCTGCTGAAATGTCCACCTCCAGGAAGCCTTCCAGGGATTATCTGCCCATGGGTTCCAATCATGTTTTGTCAAGAGTCGTGTGTGCCTTCCAGACAAGAGTGTGAGCTCTGTACTTACTCAGCAGCAGTTGAAAGAGGGCTCATGGCCCTGTGCCATCTGGGACCCGGACATGATGCCAGGGGTCAGCATGGGTGGTCATGCAGTATCAGAGGTGCCCAGCTAACACAGAAGACAGGCTGAGAGTAACTGCTTTGGGGAAACAGTGAGTGAGCAGTGAAGAGAAAGTTTAGGAAAAATCAAGGGATCAGAGTAGTTTATTGAGCCCCTTTTATTCGAAGTCCCTTGCCCTCTTCCTATTACTGTCAAATGAAAGAGCCAAAGCACCTGTGTCCTGCTTGTGTGAAGAGGTAGAGGTTTATTGAAATATAAACATTCGAGAACATGTAAGATAGAAAATAACCACAACATATACAGACACTTGCTGCAAAAGGACTTCTGAGGTATTCATCCACTGCCTAGGCTACCCATGTGCTATCACATTTTTTTTTCCTGGTTAAATACAAGTAAGACGGGGAAGGGGAGGGGACAGAGCGGCCCCGGTCAATGGCTGCCATGTGACCTCAGGGCTGCACCGTCCAGAGAGCTCTTCTTGGCCCAGGGCCCCATTCTGGGGGCACTGGCTGGCACGCCTACCCTCTGGCTTTCAGGCTGAGACCCTGCTGTTGCCCCTCAGGGCAGCGAGGCCTTGCTGAGAGGGTGAGGCTGGGCAAGCTGCCCGGGGAAAGGGAGAGGACCCAACCACCAGGAAGACACAGCACACGGTCCCTGTGTCTTCTGGGTGCAAGGGGCCATCCTTCGTGACCAAAGTCCTGAGAAAGACACATGGGCCAAATGTCTGTGATGCCTTCAAGTGGGCCCAGCGCCAACCAACCGGGCTCCTCCCTGACACCGATAGCAGATGCCCCTCTCTGCCCAGCCCTGTGCCGGCCTGGTGAGGCCAGGAGAGGGTCAGCCCCCAGTGGATGGGGCTGTGTGTGTGTGTGAGAGAGAGACTGTGTGGGCGGCTGGGGGAGAGGGAGGAGATGCGGTCAGCGACGCGGCAGCTCACGGGGCTGAGGTATGTGTTCTGTGCTCAGGTGTCTGATTTCCCTTTCCTTTCCTAGCCAGACTAAGCGTGGGGCGTGTGTGGACTTGGGTCCACCTCGGCCTCCCACCACTACCGCAGGATGATGTCACAGTGGGCGGGGTTCCAGTGAACACTGCAGAGAGAACCTGATGGAGAGGTGAGCCGTGTGTGAGAATCACCTCTTCTTTATGACACAGGAGCAGCCTGTTTCACCCCAGCGCCCAAGAGGAGACAGAGCTCTCTTAGCATCTCCTCATCTTCTGGGGCAGCTCGACCCCTGCAGCGTCCATGGCCTCCATGGCCTGCGCCTGCCCTGAGGTGGGAACGCTGAGTGAAGGGGAGACGCCCTGACCCTAGCCCAGTGAGGGACTGCCCTGCTCTGGTGGGAAATGGGTCAAGGGCCATCCTGACAACCAGTGTGGTTTCAGGACCCAACCTGTGTGAGAGGGGTCCCTCCGTTCCAATCCTCCCACCGCTGTGATCCCTGAGTCATCTCTCCTGCCGCCTCTCCCTCCTCCTCACTGGGGGGATCTTAGGGAAGGGCCAGAGGGGCTGGGGTACCAAACCATTTGCTTGGCTTTGGGGGAGATCTGCTTTCATTTCTTTGGTGCTACAGTAACAACAATAAAAATTTTAAAGTAAAAAAAAACACAAAAGTCAGCAAACACATATAAAAAAGATTCCAGAGATGCAAATACTTCCTGAAGAATCAAACATCAACAATTACAAATCTGAGGTATTTCAATGAACCTGACACTGGCAGGTTTGGGGATGTAGGGGCTGAGACGGCCCCCCGCCGAGAAGAGGAGGGGCCTGAGGGACAAGTGGGCTGTTTCCTGGGAGAGCTGGCCAACAGGGATGAATGGGGTGGGGGTGGGGGTGGTGTGAGGTCTGGGTGGGTCAGAAAAGGGCCAGTGGAGTGGGTGCCAGGGTCTCCTTGGGCTGCCCCCGGGGCTCTGCTTCTCCCTTGGCAGATGCCCAGCAGGTCCTGGGTCCTGAGGACTGCCCTTATCAGCCCTTGCTCGGAACCATTAAAAGGGGATATGGGGCCCTGAGGACTGCTTCAAAACATGAATTTGAGGGACCCACATTCCACGAACCAAACATGGTAGGCAAGGTGGACTGGGAGGACCCCATCCCATGCTCAGCAGAGAAGGGCCACAGAGGTGTGCTCTTGGCTCCAAGCAGCCCCACATGGGAGTTAAAGATGGGGGAGTTGAGCAGGGGAAGAGACCAGTGATGCTGGAGTCACAGCAGAAGGCAGGGGGAGAGAAATAAATTAAAGGGGAAGGAGTGTGGAGGGCCTTCAGCCCTGTGTCAGCTTACAGATTGTCGATACACTGTGCCCGGGATGGGAGGGGGCCTGGGAGCCCGGGAGCAAGCTGGATGCCCAGACCCTGCCCAGTTCTCCAGGACAATCCCTGATTGGGCAACGCCGCCCTGTCAGGCCCCTCCAGCCTCTCCCTGCCTTTAGGGTACAGCAGGACCTGACGGAGCCTGGGCAGACGGACATGTCCAAACTCTCAACATCTGGCCAAATGGTGTCTGATGTGGGCTCCATGAGATGAGGTAAATTCTGTGCATCAACTTTCGCCGCTCTCGAAGGGAGAGTGGGGAGTGGGGAGCTGGGTCCTGCCCCTCAGAGGGACCAGCTGGTGGAGGGCTCTGCACTGGGGGTGCCCCGGGATGAGGTAGGACTCGGTGAGCAGTGAGAACTGCTGCTGCTGCTGGAGCTGCTGCCGATGCTCTGGGGGGCGGATCCTGTGATGAGGTGGACTGCAGGTTTCTGGGCAAACAGCACACCTGAGTGAGTGGGGGAGGGGAGAAGGCAGTGTGAGCAGACGGGGAGAGCAGGGGTGCGTGCAGGGGTTCAGTCCCTCACCATATCACTGCTGCCTAACTAGGTAAGGCTCCAGGCTGGATGGTGCCGACACAGCCCTGCCGGCAGGTGCGTCTAAGCTGCTGAGGGGGCAGTCATTTTGCTGAAAGGCCCCAAAGGCTCTAAGGGAAGTGCTCCCAGACCATGTTTAGGAAGAACAGAGATGAACTCATCAAAGAAAGGAGACCTGTGCTTAGGAAGACTGTAACGGCAGACACATCTAACTTATGCATGCGTGTACGCTAAGTTGCTTCAGTGGTGTCTGATCCAGTGAAGACCCTCGGTGACCCTATGGACTGTAGCCCACCAGGCTCCTCTGTCCATGGGATTCTCCAGGCAAGATTACGGAGAGGGGGTAGCCATGCCCTCCTCCAGGGGACCTTCCAGACCCAGGGATCGAACCTACATTTCTTAGGTCTCCGGCATTGGCAGGCGGGTTCTTTACCACTAGTGCCACCTGGGAAGCCCCAATTTAGTTTACAATACAATGTTAAAGGCATGGATGGAATTGATTATGATTCTTTACATTCAATGACTTTTAATTAACGAGCCAACCATTGGTTAAAAAAGGGTTAGACAAGGGGTCTCTCTGACTCGGTCACAGGTGGAGGGGGGCCTGCCATCCGGTTAGCAGTCCTCAGTCCTCATCCAGAACTACTTTACCTTTGGACAACATGAAGGGCCCGCCCCCTGGGAAGGTGTCCAGACAGGAGGGGGGCGAGGGGGCCCTGCAGGGAGCCGTTCCGAGCCTGGCTGCCAGCCTGTACCTCCCTTACCTGAGTAAGTGGTACCATCGATGTCCACAGACATGCTGATGCTCCCAATGCTGTTTGTGGTTAGGTTCAGTGCTGCCGCTGAGGCCTCTGCTCTGTCCTCTGCTAGGGACAAGGGAGACAGCAGGCCCGGTCAAGCCCTTGGGCATTTCTGTCATCCCCTCTGAGGCGTGGCCACCCTCCCAGCCCGGCTGCAGCAGGCTGAGGCCTCCCAGAGTTAGAAAGCACCCGTATAACCTTCTCCCAGTGTAAGGTCTGGCAGGAGACCCAGGCTGGTCAATACCCTATCGCTTGCTTTTTCCACTGACCCACTTCACTTCCCCAGCTCGCTCCGCTCTCAGAGAAGAGGGGTCACATTGGGAAGGAGGCTGACCTCGGCTCACAGCTGTGTACTGACCCGTCTGGTGCAATTCAACAAACCCTGAGCACCCATTATCCACCGGCGGGGGGTGGGGGGGGCAGGTTGGGGGGAGGGGTTGGGGTCAGAGATCACTAAGACCAGCACCATCCACTGAGGACTCGCCTGGCTTCCTCCTCCCCTTTACTAGACTGGGAGGCCCTCAAGGAGGGGGTCTGCCTGTCCAGTCCCTGGCACTCCCTCTCAATCTGAGCCGTCGACAGCCTGTGAAAGGTGGCAGGCACTGGTACACGAGGCCTCTGCCCGGCCCACCAGAGACTCTCCGTTCCTGATGTCGAGAGCCAAGAATTCTTCCAGATGAGCTGCTTCATCTATTAGTCTCTGGCCTGCGCATGACCAGGGGCAGCTGGCCTGAGCGGGGAACAGGGCAGAGCCCTGCTGTCTGGGCCACCATCTCCAGTTTCCTTGGGCTCCTCTCCAGGGGAGAGTGGGACAGGAAGGGGCTGCCTGGGAACATGCACAGCTCCCTTCACACCTGATTTTCCCCCAACACAAGCCTGCTCATGTTTGTTCTGAGACAGAGTCATGAATGGCAAAGAAATGTGTGAGGGGGAAAGGGGAGAAACAGGAATGAAGGGTGTGGGGTGTGTGGCTGCAGGGATGAGAAGGTGGGGCATCTGAAAAATGTGGAGGGCAAGGGACATATGTCAATTATGCTGCCAAACTTGTATTTCCTCCTCCCTTCCCTCCGGAGGGCCACTGGCTGCCGGTCTGAGGCAGCTCCGGCCTCTTGCTGGGCCTTGGGAACGGGGCGCAGTCTTTCTTCCAGGTGGTGGGCGGTGGGGGGAAGGGCGAGCCCTTTAACTGAGACAGATCAAAAGGCAGGAGTAGACAGGGAAGACCCCGAGACTGGCCCTGAAGGTCTCCGGCTCCTCCTCCTTGAACAACTGCTTTTCCTTTTTGCTACAGAACAGGGCACGCCTGAGGAACTGCAGGCACCCCGGAAAATGACCTCAGCTTGGTGAACTGAGGTCTCTGTGGCCACTGAACCTGCAGGTGACCCCCTAGCCTCTAGATCCTTCTGCGGACCAGGTGAGAGGGATAGGGGCAGAACCTGGAGGGCCCCCCCCAAGTCCCCGGACATGAGCCCGCCCAGAATGGAGCTGGGGCTTGGGGCGCCGGCCGCTGCTTACCCCTGCCATTGATCCTGATCTTCATGGGCAGCTGCCGAGCCATGTTGAACAAGTTGCGCTGGAAAGCCTGCTGCACCAGGCGCTGCTCCTCCTCTGACAGCCTGGACACCTTCTTCTCAGGAGGCTCCCCTGACTCCAGCCGCTCCCGCAGCTGCTCCAGCGTGGCCGTCCGGGAACTGGCCTGCTGGCCGGCCAAGGACACAGGCACAGCCAGGCGATTTGGCACGGGCACGGTGGTCACTGGGACTCCATCACCTGACAAAGGCACCAGAGCTGGACACAGCCCACAAGCCGCCCTCCCACCTGAGTCTTGGACCCAGGGAGTTTTGTGCCCCTTCTCCCCCAGGAGCCCTGCAGACCTTTCCTGAGAGGAGCTGCCGGGGATAGTCGAGAGCCGCTGGCACTGGTGCCACCACTGGAGCCCAGCCCAAGGATGGGGAAGCGGATCTTGGGTGGGGAGAGGAGGGCAGGGGCCCCGGCAGCCGTGGTGGGTGAGTAGCCAAAGAGGGAGGAACTATAGCTGGGCCGCCGGCCCTCCCTCCTGTTGCCGTCAATAGCTGCCTGCAGCTCGGCCGGGGAGCTCAAGGCTTTCTTCTCGCACTCGTAGGCATAGAGATATTTCATATACCTGGATGGAGGAAAGGAAGGAAGGAAGGAAGGATCACCCAAAATGCAGTGTCAGGACTTCCCAGTGTAAGCTGATGATCCTCTGCAAGGGGCCTCTGTGGGACAAGGTCTGTCCTCTAGGACGAAGCAGCACAACCTGGTGAACTTGGTGGAAGAGGAACCTTCAGGATAGCAGGACGCCCCAGCCCAGGCCCCCTAACTGCACCCAGGGCTAAATGTGGCTGGAACTGGAGTCATGGCTCATCAGGGAAACGGCTATCACCACTAATGTTTCGTGTTTGTGTGGCACCTTTCCAGCGCCCTGGGAGAAAGGAGAAATGCCATGTTTTGCAATGTCTTTTTGGCTCCTTGATCTCCTAACCATTCTGAGTCAGCTGTTCAGACAGGCGCAACTCTTCCTGTTGTGTGTAGGCCTAGAAGTGCCGTCCTGCTTCATGTCAGATGCCCCAAGAAAGCAGTTCTCTACCTGAGAACCTTGGGAGAAAGATGGCTCTGCTGGCTGTCGCTCTGTTCCCAACTTCTGCAGGAACTGTTTCATTGGATAAGACCCTTCTAACTTTTCAAAAAGGCCTTAATATGCCACCCAAGCCACACACAGATGATCCTTCTGTCTTCTTCACAGAGCAATATCCCGAGTTCCCAAAGAACGGATTCCCCTCTGGCCCCCATTCTTCAATGCTCCCCCTGCTCCTGCCACCCTTATAATTAACTCAAATGGGTACAAAAACAGGTCACCAATCCCAGCACAGCCCTGCCTGCTTTCCTCTGGGTAAGCTGAATGTCAAGTAGAAAGGGTCAGGCTTAGAGTGGGGGTACTGTGTAGGAGATGATGCCTTGGAAAGGTTGTGGACTTCAGAGACAGAAGTCCAGCTATGAACCTCTTACTAGCTGATACGGCCCTGACCAAACGATCTAGGCTCTGAGACTTAGTTCTTGTTATCGGGAAAACAGGGACAAAACCTACTTGGTGGGATTGCCGGTGAAATGGAATGAATGAAATGAAACGAAACGGAAAGGTGAAGCAACAGCACACAGGACACGCCTGAGAAAAGACACTCAGGTTTACTTAGGTGACCGAGGGATTCATCGCAGAAAGCTCCTGGCTCTTTCAGGCATTCCGCCCATCTTGCTCACTACACGGTGGAATTTCCTTCCTTCCCTGCCTCAAGGTTAATTCCCTCTCACAAGCCTCAGCCTCCGCTCCGTAGGGCGTGGGCCACTCACTGGGTCCTCAGGGTGAAGGCGGCGCTGGTGATGGACGTGGGCAGGTTCAAGCCTTTAGTGATTTCTCTCCAGATCTTCTTGTTGATGATCTCCACCAGGCCCCCCTTCTCCGTCACCAGCTTATACAGCATGTACAGGTCCAGGATCTGCTTGGCCATGATGGGGATTCGGTTGATGGGGGTCCCTGCAATGGTACAAGGAGAGAAACACAGGGCTAGGTCATTTTCAGGCAGAGAAAGAAGACATCTGTGCACGCCCACCTTTGGCTGAGTTGGAAATATGTTCACAAATCTGCTCAGAAGTGTAATTTGAGTCAAACTCCCAAAGCCTGGAAGCTATCAGGCTAGCTGCCAGATCTCCTCGGGAAGAACAGAAAGACAGGTTCAACTCACAGGCTGCATGGCCTTGGGTAAATCACATGGCCTCTCTGGGTCTGTTCCCCGCTGTAAATAAGAGAGCCAGACTACATGACTTCAAAGATTTTATTTTTTTCCTAGCAATATGACTCCTAATAATTTGGCAACTCAGTCCTCTAGAGCCTTCAGAAGTCATTCGGCTGCCTCCCCAGTGAACTAACTCTTTCCTGACCCCTGCACAGGGGAGGGCGGGTCCCACCGTCCACCTGGACAGCTCCCGTGCTTCCCTTCTGTAGCTCTCAGCGCCGTTTATAACTGTGCTTTAATTTATTTGCATACTGCCTTGCCTTCTCCTCATCTCTTCTCCTGCTGCAGGACAGAGAAATGGGTTTTTTTCCTCTCCTGTGTCCCCACCATGTCAAAGGAGCTGCTGGGCACACAGGTCTCCAAGGGGATGAAAAGCCACTCAACAATTCTCTCCCCACTAATCACTCTACCCCCTCCCTGGCCTCTGAAAGAGGGAGGGTCAGAGCTGCTTCCGCCCCCTGGCCCCGAAGGGAAGTGACAGGAGTCAGGGACTTGATTAGGAAACCTGGCCCGGAGCAGGAAGGCCCACTAATGAGCACCCAGGGACGGCAGGGAGGGCGGGGCCAGGCTCCTTTCTTGGGCAGCCGGGATGCTCGTCAGGAGGCGTGATGGATGACTGTCATCTGGCAGCCCCGGGATTAATGATCTGGAGGTCAGAGGGGAGAATGTCAGCGGGAAGGGTCGCCGTCCGGGGCACAGTATGAGACCTGTTGCCTTTTGATGGCAAGTCCTCTTACTGTACGCCGGCTGCTCCTCCTCTGCCTTGCCACCACCCCCCAGACCCCCGCCCACCCCCACTCAGGCTTGCTGTGGTCTCACTGACTGCCTGGTGGGCGTCAGGCCAGCTTGATTAGAGAAGGGCTGTTTGTTTCAGCTCCTCCTGCTTCTTTCCCCTCAAGGAATGGCATTTTCATCTCAGTCCTAGCACACTGCCCTCACTCTTTTTATAGGGTAATTCAAGCCAGAGTGGACTGAAGGGTCCCATGGTTATGCGGAAGAAGCAGTGTGAGCACAAACACATGGCATTGCTGTGGCGGTCCCAAGCCGCTTTCCTCAGTGTAGGAGGGAGCTAGAGGTCTTGAAGACCTTTGTCCTGACAAAGGCCAGGGAGTTAAATTAAAAGGATCACTGGTAAAATGTCAGAGAACTGCTGGCATGCTCCTAAGACACAACAGCGCACACGCCGGTTAACTTCTCCCTGAGCTGTTCTGGACAGCAGACTTCATTCCTGTCATAAGCACAGAAGTCTCACACAACAAAACTGGTCTCCCAGCAGACCAGGGCTAAGGTCTCCCTCCTCTGCAGCCAGTCTGCCGAGCCTTCAATGGCCTTGCCTTGAGAGTCTGGGAGGATCGCTTCCAAGGTTCCCTCCCATAGGACCCCGAAGCTCTCAATTCCAGAAGCTTCCAGAACATCTTTACACGTGACCCATTCACTTCCAGGTCAGATGTTCACACTCAGCTCCCCTTCATCCACTAGGCGAGCTCCCTCTTCCCATCCCTGCCTCTTCATCCAGCAACACCATCGCTCTGAGAGGTCTTAGGCAGGAACCTCAGGAGACTGCTCCTCTTCACTCTCCTCCACCTTTAGGTTGTCTGGAGGCTCACCGATTCCTCCTCTGAGGCACCTTTCAAAGCTTGCTTGCTCTCTACAGCCATCACCCTGGGCCAGGCCCTCACTGGTTTCCCATTAGATGCCCCAGCAGCCTTGAATCAACACGCTCAACCTGCATGCTACTGCCAGACAACCTGATGAAAACACCACTTTCACCCCATTACTCACTTCCTAGTTTAAAAAACCCACAATGACTCTTATTGCCGACCCAGCCCACCTCACGTGTTCAATATCATGACTCAGGTTCCCAAACACTCCTTAGAAGACTGTGCATGTTATTTGTTGATTTGTGTCTGACTCTTTGCGACCCCATGAACTGTAGCTCACCAGGCTCCTCTGTCCATGGAATTCTCCAGGCAAGAATACTAGAGTGGGTTGCATTCCCTCCCCCAGGGGATCACCCCAACCCAGGGATTGAACCTTGGTCTCCAGCATTGCAGGCAGCTTCTTTACCATCTAAGCCACCAGGGACGCCCCCACTTAGAAGATTATGTATGATGTGTTTCAAGCACATCCCAATAACTTACTCTCACTCAATCAGCTGGGTCTTCTCACCCTCATCCCCAAACCCAACTTCTTTCTCCTCTATTTTTTGGGTTTTACTCTTCCTCTTCCTCAACTCTAAAATGATGTGCCCAAATCCTTCTTATACGGGCCTTCAATGTTCGCTCTCTCCAGGAATAATTTTCTAACTACCTTGGTTCGAATGTATTTCTTTCCTCTCTGAATTTCTATTATAACCACTACAAGTTCCACAAATAATTACACATATTTCACTTATGCTTGTCTGGTATCCCAGGAGGATTGTAAGCTCCATGAAAGCAGGGACTGTTTTTTCCTTCATCATGTCTTGAATATTATAAAGTTTAATAAGTGAAACTACCATGTAGATTAAACAAACAACGGGCTTCTCAGAGTCAAAGCAACCAGCTCTGTGCTAACCCAACGGGGAACGTTAAATGCATTTTCTTCCTGTCGGCGGTGTGCCCGC